TTTTTTATAAATGGTTGAATATGTGCTGATTGCAGCAGAGAACAGGGAAAATCTTGTGATTTCTATGATGTAATAATTTCAGATTTCGACAGATATTAAACTTGAAAATGATCCTTGATTCACCCGAGGACGGCTTGAACAAGAATGTAGGGTTATCATTGATAACAGGTTGGTTGTTATATTCTTAGACATGCATAATGAAGCGCCTTGAGGCGACTTATGTTGTGATTTGGCGCTATATAAATAAAATTGAATTGAATAATTGTGCCGGTGTGTATTTTGTATTTCCCTTTTAGTTTTGGTAAAACAAAAACGTTATCACGTGTTAAATCTTGTGGAATTTGAGGATCAAAAATTGCCACTGAATTATATTAAACACTGCAACAAAAGGAACGGCGACGTACTAACAGATGTGTTCATCCCAACAGGAAGAGGAAACAACCTTTTGGAATACAGATTGTGAACTTTCGAGCTGCATGTAAATGCATCGTCAAATGCAGCCGCATATTGAACAGCACATAACCATGTAAAATTACTTACACGTAGACGACATGTGTTCATCCATCGATCAGAGTGTGTTGCAGCTATTTGTTCTTTATTTTTATTATATTTTGAAATTTGTTAAAGTTTGTTGTTAGTTTACTTATATTTTGGGGTTTATTTACAAGTTTATTTGTAGGTTAATATTTGTTTGGTGTTTACCTTGTTAAATCAGTAAGAGCTGTAGGGCCATTTTGTTTCTATAAATAAAGAGACTGGTATAGGACCAGCATGCACTGGGGTGGGCCTATGGTTTTTTACCAGAGCAGCACAAGCAGCAGGAAGTAACAAAAAATTTGATCTTGTTGCCAAACTGGATGAATAAACCATAAAAACGCAACTTTCAAGTGTGGACAGTGGACTTCTTTTGCCTGCGTACAAAATATTATCTCAGTGCAGCAGTGGCTTGTGGGCTTTTAATTGTGGGATGTTTGGTTGGTCAAACAAAAGGAATTGCCACAACAGAGTAAAAAACCTGCCTGTGGACCAAAGGAATAATCCTTCATTAATGGATACGTTGGATATATGGATTTCAAGGATCACTGTCGAACTCGAACAAAAGTTACTGGCTCATCTGAGAGTAACTCCAGACGGATTTGGTGTTGAGGCCTGGATCAACATGTCACTCGTTCATCAAAACTGGAGAGTGATAATATCGTTTAACCCGTAAAGGAAAACAGTGAAGCTATTGGAGTTTAAAGACATTATTTCACTACAAAGTCTGATGAACTGAGTTTTGATGTACTAAACTGGTGCATAATTGGATCGCTAATAGACCCTGTGCACGAGAAAATGCTTTCTTCCTGGTTTGAGACCGGGTGTGGGGGTTGTACATTTCTGGTAGCTTTACTTTGCGGTCAATCGATACTGCGAAGATATTCTCCACAATCATGTCCAAAACGGAAAGATGGCGTTAAGTTACAAAGAGCAGAAGGTGGGAACGCTCACCATTACTATGTCATAAAAAAATAATGATCAGTTTTGACGTTTAAAGAGTTTAGATCGATCAGTTGTTTACATCACTCAACACAAGCAGAACTGCATCACTGCAGCAGAAGACACATCGTCCACATTCAGAAGCACATCTCTGTATAATGACTGGTCTCATGATTTAAACAGGCAAATGTTCCTCCTTCAAACTACAGGTGAAGAATAGTCAAACCAGATGTTTCCCCGTTATGTCGATATCAGCTAGTCAAGTACACACCTACACAGCATGAAAAAAAGTCCATGAAAAAAGCCACACAAAAATGAACGATTGCTGGTAACGGTTTCTATACATTAGTATTTACGAAGGGTATGTTGTCAGCCGCAGCTTTAAAGTTTCAAGTTCCACCAAGCAAAGAAAAAAGCGAAGTAATTTTGCCACTAATGTCAGTTCAGTTCCAGGAGTCAAAACTCAAACTGGAAGCAGAACAAATCCCACCGTTTGTTTTGTTCACACAGCAATCATTTACTAGAGAATTGTAAGCAGTTCAAAGCTAAAATGCATCAGGATGAGTTGACTTTTATCAAGGAAAGGGGAATTTGTTTTGGTTGTTTGAAAGTTGGTCACACAAGCAAAGACTTTAGGAGTCGTTTGGATTGCAACGTGTGTCACCAGGGGTTCTTCATATAGAGCGGAGAGTTCCATGTGCATCCTCAGGTCATGAAGTTGATGCATTTTCTTTTCTATTTTTCCAGTTCAAGTTAAGAGCCAAAAGAGCAATAAAACTGTGCAAACCTTTGCATTTTTGGATCCTGGAAGTTCAGGTACATTCTGTACAGAAACTCTGGCAAAAAGACTGAATCTAAAAGGTAAAAAGACCAATATCCTTTTGAGAACAATGAGTCAAAATAGGATTGTTGGTGCACAAGTTCTGTCTGGT